GGGGGGGGGGGGGGGGGGGGGGGTACGTTTACTGTTAAGACTATCAAGGCTTGGAACAGTACTACCAGTGACTTAAAGAAAAGTCATAGTCCAAATATTTTTAAAAGAAACTTTCTTAAATACTTTTTAACAAAGCAGCGAGAGACGCTTACTTTTGAATCTTTTCTAGCTATTTGACTTATTTTATCTTAAATATTCTTAGTATAATGTAAATATAGCATGAGTATTATTGCCTACTAAATGTAAATAGATTTAGCATTGTCTATTCAGTATAGTTCATTGGGCCGTATATGTATATTTTTGTAATTAGGAATATGGAGGGCCACAGGTTTATCATTTTTATTAATGTCAAGTGTTACTCTCTTGAAATAAAGTCTCTAATCTAATCTAATCTAATCTACTGTGTTATTATAACTACCGACACGATAGTGATTTCCTTTGTCTTTTCCTCATGAATTATTAATGCTTTTTTTAAGAACTGTTTAATGAGGGTGTTGATGGGGTATATCGTGAGTCGTGATTCACTCAATTTCGGTTACCATCAGTCGTGAAAATACTAAAAATTCACCGTGAAGCGTAAGGTAAAAAACACTATTTATCGTTTCAGAACACTTTTCAAAGATTACCGTTAAAATACCAAAATTTTGCCTTTAAAATACCAAAATTTTTACCGTTTACTGATATTTGTACCCCCATCTATAGACTCTCTTTAATATACGAAGTGTTATAGGCTGAATTTTACAGGAAATTTGAGCTTGTATAGTTGTATTACGTATAATAACATACCGAGTATAAAATTAAAGCTGATAATTCAAACTTTGTACGAGTTTGTACAGTTTATTTTTAAGATTACTGCGCAATTTTTTAGAGCAAACAATACATCAACATTTCAAAACAAACTTCTGTTGTGTTTTATGATTTCCTGCCGAACATATTGCCTCTAATCCTTTGCTAATCGTCCTATCAATTACAGTCGTGCCAATAGAAGCGATCCGAAAAATATTGACCAGTTCATTTCCTAACTTGAAGGAACACCTCTGAACAATTCCTCAACAATTTGATAAGTTCCTTAAAAAGTTCCTAACTTCTCGTTTCATTGACCAGTAAAATTTTATATTTTATTTTTGAGCAATCTGATTGGTCAATGAAACAGGAAGTTAGGAACTTTTTAAGGAACTTATCAAATTGTTGAGGAATTGTTCAGAGGAACTCCTCGAAGTTAGGAAATGGACTGGTCAACATTTTTCGGAACGCTTCTATTGGCACGACTGCAAACGACTTTCAGGGTTTCGCATTGACTTTTTTCAATCGCAAACGTTTCCATGCAATCCTGACAATCGCCATATTTTTTAGATCAGTGGGAAGTCCACCCATGAACCATACCCGCGCGTCTGCAATTATCGATGATCTTTAGACTTCGCTAACGCTTTCCTTTTCCCGTAATATATATATTTTATATTTATATATAAATAGTCGAGCGGATTTATTACCCTACCCTTACCCTATATTAATATAGACAACATGAGCGATCGTGTTGTATAAGATCTATTTGTGTCTGTGGATGCAACACCTCATTAAACATTAATTTCTTTTGAATTATCTTCATAAATTATTAATGAGTTTCACAATGTTTTTTGCATCACAAGTAAAGGGGGTGGGAAAGAATATTTTCGTGAGCCGTGAATGGTCAATATTTGTTCGCGTGAAATGTGAAATGCTTGATTTTAGTGTCGTGAAATGTGATTTGTTCTACAGCCGTGAGGCGTGATTGTTAATAAAAATGCTCCGTGAAATGAGAATTAAGGATGTCTGTTTCGTGAACTGTGATTTTGCTTTGTTTATTTCGATCTATTTTACAATAGTCATAATAAACATGATACGCGACAATCAAATTTATATGATCTCACTCGATTGCGCAAGAGTAAAAACTTCGGAGGCCTTTCGCGAGGTTCCTCACCCGGAGGACAAGGTTCCTCACTCTCAGGACAAGGTTCCTCACTCTGAGGACAAGGTTCCTCACGCCGAGGACAAGGTTCCTCACGCTGAGGACAAGGTTCCACACGCTGAGGACAAGGTTCCTCACGCTGAGGACAAGGTTGCTCACGCTGAGGACAAGGTTCCTCACGCTGAAGACAATTGGAGGTCGTCGTACATGTTCGTCACTCAAACTTGTTAATTCGTCACTCAAATTTAATAATATGTGTATTAAATTTAAAACAGTTTATCGGTAAAACACTAAAATGTAGTTTAGTTGAAATGTTGAATGAGCATTTCAAAACATTTTACGAAGCGTTTCAAGTTAATTATGATGTAGTTTTGAACTGACAGGTAGGGAAGTGAGAGAACTTAAAGCGTAGATACTGTACCATGCATTAAACATACTCTTAATAAACCTATTATTATTATATTATTTTATTAGAATCTAGTTTTCCGTGAAATTGCTTTTTTAAGACACGTGAATCGTGAAACGTCTTTTTTTCGTTGTGAAACGTGATCCATACCCCCCTTTCCCACCCTCAGTAAACTCAAGCATTTCGATATTTCCTTTGTCCAGGTACCAAATTTGGGCATGGTGTATATTTCGCAAGGGATGCTTCCTACTCTGTCCGCTTCTTGTTGAAAGATGGCGAGAGTGAAAATAATGTCTTCCACATGTATGTAGCCAAGGTCTTGGTTGGAAAGAGTGTGAAAGGTGATAAACAAATGCGCGTCCTACCAAAACGAAATGACCCGCGCAACCCGGAGTTATTTTACGACTCTGCTGTAGATGATACAGAAAATCCATCTATTTTCCTGACATTTGATGATCATCAGTGCTACCCTGAATATTTGATCACATTTAAAGTAGTTCCTCAGTGATTGTTCCTGGATTAGAATTTCCTGAAGCATTCAAGGCTTGAAGTGTATGATTTGCTTTTGTAAAACTACGCGGTATGTTGGCCAGTTTTCAGACAGTGGACTGTCATATACTATGATTTTATGATTGCAGATTTTTAAAAGGTTCGAAGTTTTAAAGATGACAGCGACTCTCTCTCTGTGACATTAGTCACAGTTTTAAAAGATGGAATAGAAAAGTAGTTCTTCTACAATCACGATTTACCTGCGGTTGCGTGTATAGTCATAGGTTACTTTAACCCGGCATACACGCTATACGATTTTGGTCGACCCAGTTATGGTTTACGTCTATAGTGTGTAACGAAATCAATGCACACAGCGAGAAAATTATTCTGTGAATCAAACCATTGACTGTTTTGATTAATTAACATAATTCAAACCATACTCGGCCGATTAAATCGTAACGTGTGCGCCCGGTTGTACCAGGCTCCGCGAATCCTCATGCTAATTATCGTATCAGATGAAGCCCAAGAAGCCCAACTAGGGACATCACGTATCCCTTTATTCTTTCTTAAGGTGGCTCAAAACAGTTTTTTAAAAATGGAACATTTGTGATTTAGATGCGTATTTTTGGACAAGTATTACAAAAAGCGTCTAACGTATGTAAAACAACATCCAAAGAGTTTGAATTTTTGAACAAAAGTTATGCAACTGCTGTTGCTATGGCAACAATGACGTTTCCATATGGCCGATATTTTGGCTTTAAAGTAATTTAACTCGAAAACGATATCGGTGGCCCCCAAATTTTATTTAAAAAAATTATTTCTCGAAGTATAATCAATTTACTCAATTACGTAAAGGTAATTATTCATAATTATTTATTTGGCTCCACAGAATTTTTTTCAACTGTCAAAGTAATTGATTATACTAAGAGGAATAATTTTTTTAAATAAAATGTTGGGGTCACCGCGATGTCGTTTACGAGTTAAATTACTTTTTGTTTATCAACAAGTAATAATTGTCCAAAAATACTCATCTAAATCGTGAATTTTCCATTTTTTTAAAAACTGTATTGAGCCACCTTAAAATTTCACGTATTTCCTTAATTAACCGGGTTGGATTTAAGAATTAATAAGATTTGGCAACAACCTAAAATACAAAAATATAGTGCCTGGGAGTTCGCCACAGGTTTCCCAAATTACGGCGACCAATTAATTATTTACATAAAAATTACGTTATTGACAATAACGACGTAAGTAATTGACAATAACGAAACAATCTAAATAGAGCAACAAAATTACAAAAAAACCTGCTAAACTGACAACTAACAACAGTTAAAACACAATTAAGTGACCTAGCCCTTTTACATTTAACACAGATAGATTTGCAAGTCCGAGGATCGTCACAGTTACACGTGTTCGATAATGCGTTAGTAGTACAATTTATAGTACAATTTCAATCCTGAATTAAAAAATTTAATGTTTCTGTCTCAGGTTATAACTTTAAATGTTCCAGGTTTAATGTAATTAACAAGCTTTAATAACATATGAGGACTGGAACGTTATACAGTTTTAATTAGTAAAAGGTATTAACAAATTCGTGACATATCTATAGTGATTCCTGAACCTGATATAACCGGTCGAGCACTATCGTAAATATAATAATGTATAATTGCATGTTATAATGATTTTATAGAGTATAGGAATATATCCAGGTATTCGTGCCAGTATGTTATGGCCAGTAGGTCTAGATTATGTAGTCTTGCTGGATATAACTGTACGTTGGTGCCAAACCCGAGATTGAGAATTAATTTGGTTGCTCTTCTCTGCACCTTCTCGATATGTTCAATTATCTGTATGGGTTTTGGACCCCATACTTGGAATGTGTACATACGCACAAGGCATTTTTCAATGCCATGCATGCATGAGTAAAAGAGTTTAACATTGAAAAGAAGTTTAAAATTATAATTTTTTATGCTTATAGTGTGAAATGTTACTAAACGATGATCATAAAATCAAGTAGAAAAACTATTTTGTTATAATATAATAGTTTTGTTTGTGGGAACACCACATAAATTTATTACTGCAAAGCTTTCGATCCGTAAGCCCGGATCTTCATCAGTGCTAATAATATGTGACTTGTTTAATTCACACGCTCTTTTTATATACAAAAGTGTCGTGATCTGTTGGCTCGCGTCATTTGAAATTTAATTAAACAGCACATCAACCCAATGCATCAACCACGTCATTTCGTTTTCATCAACCACGTCATTTCGTTGAACTATTTTGTTGCTGACCGGTGACGAAGGAAATCATATCCCTACCACAATACAAAATTTGTTTGTGAGCATATACTTAACTTATGTTGTGTTGTGTTCGAATGTTTAGCGTGCAATTTATTTCAAATTTCACTATTGAAACTTTATTTGAGAAAGTTGAGATTTTTTAAATATGTTCTCAGAAGGCAGAAAATGCTAATTCAGAGACCCAAATTTTAAATATTCCTGCGGCACTCCGCTCACACCTTCGGTGCTCGCATACTTTCCTGACGGGAGGGCAAAGAAAATGGGTCCATTGGCAGTTTTTCCCCACCACTTAAGAATCGTTAAAAAATGCAATGCGTACGCAAGATTGCTCCCAACGAGTTGTAAATATAGATACTTTTCCGCCTTGATGTCAGTCATCTCCAAAGTAGACCGCTTAGCTAATCCAAGTAATTTGTTTAACTTAGCTTTGACTTCAAATTACTCACTTGATCGACCCATTGCTGATAGTTATACCCAGGTCAACTTGATCGTACAAGTGGATCTTGTATCCCCATTAATAAGAAATGTATGCACACATACTTAGGGCTCCATGCAGTATCCCGTTTCCCTATATTTATCCTTCAATACCCAATATCCCCGTCACTTTTTCCTTAAATATATCCTGTATCCAGTAACCCTTAAATATATCCTGTATCTAGTAACCTCTATCCTGCACTGACGTGTAACCCACCATTGGTTACTTTATGGAATGTATTAGAAAAAATTGAAACACTTTTATTACCAGTATGGTGTAGTAATGCATAGAACGCAGCACTCCAAGTATTCCAAAGTAAACGGCCGGCCAAAACCTAAAAATATTTGTAAATTGTTTGTTGGCATTTTCTGTTACAAGCTGCTATAACTGCGATTTTCTTAGAGTATATGTATTTATGAATTAGACTATACGTTGGCGGCAACTCTTCTTCTGGCTATATAGTCGAAAATTTGAGAATTAAAAAATATTGCTTATTAAAGTTAGTGCTTTAATTAATAAGCAATATTTTTAAATTCTCAAATATGTAAAAAATCTTGACAAAAATGTAAAAAATTCAAGTGCATTTTTTAACAAAACGTTCGCAAAATAGTATATATAAGACATTTAAGCGAGTAGTATGGTTTTCGTGGCCGATCTTGCGTTTTTAACGTTCAAAACTGAAAAAAATGCGCTAATTCATGCTAACTAAAAGTTACTATTTTGCCTTTAATTTGAAAACTTGACTTAAAAACGAGTCGCGTGCGAAAAATATAAACGAGTCGCGTGTGTTTATGGTGTGATAATGTACGCGGGGAATGTTGGGAGAACACGAGAGAAGCGTAGCTTCCTGAGATAATATAAGTAGAAGATATCACTTCATAGTAAACAATTTTACTCAAAAGATCAACTTTGAAATTCTCCTAACATATACTCCGTGACGTCACGCCCAAAAACAACACAAAATTTTGATGAAGTTTTGATGCTAAAGTTGCAGAGAAACTGTTTATAAGCTGGGGGAACCCCCAGTGATACACAGACTGATTTACTAATGTTTTTCGGCATTTGGGGTGCTGGATTTGCCATGAAAGACGTTAAATCGTAGGTTTCGTCGTACGTGTTGCTCAGTCTTAATTTTTGAAAGTATAATCGTATTTGTTGTCTTTCGCCGAAAATGTGTCTAGTAGCTATTTTTTTATCAGAAGCATCGAAGGCACTTTCTAAATAACTTTTCTGTGTTTTTGGTATTCCTGTATCTTTTCAAGCTTTTTCTCGACTATTTTGCACGCTTTTAATTACCCCAAACTTATCAAGACAGAAACAAATTCGACGAATACCAAGCCGGTTAATTTTACTGTTTTTACACGTAGAACTATAGATAAAATTGCTTTGTTCCTTTAGGCTAGATCTATATTCCTTCTTGCTTTCTGATAAATTTTATATTTTCAAAGCTCTATAGTTTTGTTTTATATTTTATATTATGAAGCGGGGGGAGAAACACAGAAAAACAAAGCAGTACCACGGACCACATAGCCTGCTCACAGACGTTGTTGTTCTTACGCCAGCGACGAAAAACTACCGTCTGCTTACCCGAGCTGCATATTTAATTCCCTTTGTTTTAGGAGCCAATCATCTGGCAGTGTTCAAAAGAATTAGCTAGAGCCAATTGGAAGCCGCCTTATTGAGAGATTAGCTACTGGGGAAAGCCCTTGCACATGCATTGGAATATATTGTTTGGGTTGAAACTTGAAATTTGCCGTTTACTTGCGTGGATATATTTTGGAAACTATAGCGTTGAACTTCACGATGTTTACGTAGAATAATGTTGTGATCATCTTCTCGCATGTTCAGCAAACAATCGGTGTATATAAAGTGCTAAAGCAATGCAGTAGGCGAAATTTAAATTTTTGTTAACAATGACAAACAATCAATCGGGAAACTCGAGTATATCAGGATATGTCCAAATGTTGCTCTTCATACTTCCTATATGCCATGACTTCGACGAAAGTACTAAAAGATTAAGCTCTCATTGTCATGTAGAAAAGTATAGCCAAGTTAGAGTATAAACATTTCGAAGTTTGGGCGAATTGGAAAATTCATCACGGCGCAATTTTAATACAAGTTTCTCGGGTTTGTGTTGTGTTTACAGTTTACATTCAGAAGTTTGCTCAAACAGCAATTAAATTAGTTCACTTTGAAGCTAATATTTCGCTTTCTACGCCACAGTATTAGACTATATAAAATTTT